TGTCCCTTTTGACCAACATCGTCCTATTTCCCCCACTGTCAGTATCCTGGCAACCACCCCATACTCTCTGCTTCCATGAATTTGCCTTTTTTAGATGCCACATGTAAGTGAGAATGAGCAGTGTATGCCTTTCTGTGCCTGGGTTGATTTCATGCTGCATAATGTCCTTCGGGTTCATCCATATTGTGGATGACAGGATTTTCTTCATTTTTATGGCTGAATAATATTCCATTGCAGATACATAGCACATTTTCTCTATTCATTTATTCATTGATGAACACTTTGGTTGATTTTATATCTTGGTCATTGTGAATAATGCTGCAATGAACATGGGAGTGCAGATATTTCTTTGATATACTGATTTCATTTCCTATGGATATATACCTAGACGTAGGAATGCAGGATCATATGGTAGTTCTATTTTACTTTTTTGAGGAACCTCCATATAGTTTTCCATGAGTGGCCATATTAATTTATATTTCCTCTGAACGTATACCAGGGTCCCCTTTTTATCCACATCCTCACCAACACTTACAATCTTTCATCTTTTTGAAAATAGCCATATTAATATGTATGAGGTAATATCTCATTGTGGTTTTGATTTGCATTTCCCTATAATTAGTGATATTGAACATTTTTTCATACGGCCATTTGTATGTTTTCTTTTTTATTGTCTGTCTTCCTTCCTTCCTTCCTTCCTTCTTTCTTTCTTTCTTTCTTTCTTTCTTTCTTCCTTCCTTCCTTCCTTCCTTCCTTCCTTCCTTCCTTCCTTCCTTCCTTCCTTCCTTCCTTTTCAGAGTATTATGGGGATACAAATGCTTTGGTTACATAAATTACCTTTGCACAGCCTGAGTCAGAGCTACAGCATGCCCATCCCCCAGACAGCATATATTGCACCTGTTAGGTGTGAATTTACCCATCTCCTCCTTCCCCACCAACCTGCCCAACACCCTATGAATGTTACTTCCCATATGTCCACATTAGAGTTGATCAATTAGTACCAATTTAATGGTGAGTACATGTGGTGTTTGTGTATGTCTTCTTTTGAGAAATGTTTGTTCTGGCCTTTTGCCCATTTTTAAATAAACTTATTTGTTTTCTTGCTATTGACTTGTGTTCTTTCTATATTTTGTTATTAAGCCCTTTTCACATGTATGGTTTGCAGATATTTTCTCCCATTCCATGGGTTATCTCTTCACTCTGTTGATTGTTTCCTCTCCTATATAGAAGCTTTTTATTTTGATTCAATCCCATTTGTTTCTTTTTTTAATATTCTTTTTATTTTTACTTTTTAAAAATTCTTAGTGTTCTTTTACTATTATCTTAGCATATTATAGGGGTACAAATGTTTAGGTTACATATATTGCCTTTGCCCCACCTGAGTTATTTGTTTCTTTGTGCTTTTGGGGACATATCTAAGAAATCATTGCCCAGACCAATGTCAAGAAGCTTTTTCCCTCTTTTTTTTTTCTTTTTTATTTCTTTTTCTTTTTTTCTATTTGTTTTTATTTCAGCATATTGCAGGGGTACAAATGTTTAGGTTATGTATATTGCCCTTGCTGCATCTGAGCCAGAGCTTCAGGCCTGTCCCTCCCCCAGACAGTACACACCGCACTCATTAGGTGTGTATATATACATCTCCTCCTCCCCTTTCCCATCTTCTCGACACCCAATGAATGTTATTACTATATGTGCACTTAATTATTGATTAGTTAATACCAATTTGATGGTGAGTACATGTGGTACCTGTTTTTTCATTCTTTGCATACTTCACTTACTAGAATGGGCTCCAGCTGGATCTAGGATAATACAAGAAGTGCTAGATCTCCATTGTTTTTTGTGGCTGAGTAGAACTCCATGGTATATATACAGGCCCAACCTTACTGAAAATCAGAACAAATTTTAATTTTGTAGGTTTCAGAATTACAGCATATGCTGAATACCCTGCCTCATCACGTCTTCAATAAAGCTGAGAATCCTGAACCTTTGAATCACTTTGAGCTCAACATCCTACATCTGAGGATGCTGAAAAATCCTGTAATAGCCTCACCTGTGGAAATTGCCTTCCAAAGTGATGGCTATTTTCCTCAAGATCTACCCCATCCACCCTTTGTTGCCATTAGACTCATAAGCAGAGTTAGAGCTCAGCATATTCCAGGGGAACAAGCCTGGCCCAGGAAGAAAGAATTTAGATTTAAGAGGGTTGGAAAGATGCCTGGATTCCAGACAGGGCGATAACCATAAATATATTCATAAAGGTGGGTTTATTCATGGAGAAAACTGTAAATCATATAGCTTGTTGGAACATAGTTATAAGTAAGACTGGAAAAGTAGTGTGAGCCATATTGGGAGGCTCCTTGCATGTGATTTAAATGGCAGAGGGGAGGGAAGAAGAATCAGGGAAGAATTTTGAGCAAGAGTAATGTGCTCAGAGACTTACTTTAGGAAGATGAAACCAGCAGTGGTATATAGGATGGACTGTGACAAGGAGACTAAAATGTAGCTGGCCAGTAAGAGGCCTATTTCAATAGTCTAGGAAATAATGATAGCTGAGTGGGAGGGGGGTGAGGGGGTGGAGATGGCATGTACCTGTAATCTCAGCTACTTGGGAGGCTGAAGCAGGAGGATTGCTTGAGCCCAGGAGTTGGAGGCCAGCCTGGGCAACATAGCAAGACCTTGTCTCTAACAAAACAAAACAAAAATAAAAACAAAAACACAAGCAACAAACACAAAATAAACAAATGAGACTACATTAAAACTATAAAAAACAATAGTAGCTGGAACTTACTTGCTAGCAGTGGGAAATTAAAAGGTGGACAGAGGCAAAAGACACATAGGAGGTAGACTTTATAAGACATATCCTTAGAATGCAAATGGAGATTTAGGCCAGGGAAAGAGGGAATGAGGCTGAAATATGAAGTCTGGGTAGTGGTCACATGCAAAAATGTGTGTGTATGTGTGCATGTGTGTGTGTGTGTGTGTGTGTGTGTGTGTGTGCGTGCGTGAGACAGAGAGAGAGCAAGAGAGAGAGAGAGAATGCCATAGGTCAAAGGCAAAACTGGGGTGAGAAGAAGGAAAGAAGATACTAAAAAGGAGCATTTTGCTGATTTAGATTGAGATCCTACTGGGAGAAAATAGAATTGCAGATGGGCTACTGCACTATAGATTATGGAAATATGGAACTTCAGAGTACTGATAAATTGGCTGGAAATCTATCAGGATTGGGGATGATACATTGTATGTAATATAGTTTCAGTAGCTTAAGAAAATAGCACACCTGGGACTCAAAGGGGGTTAGCAACCATTGGCTCTATATATTTCCTGGGTCACCTTGGCTTACAGCTAAGGGAGTGGAGTAGATAGCATTTTTGGCCATTTATTCATTACATTCTATTATTCTATGACATAGTATTTTCTTCTCTGTTAATTTGTATATTTGTTTATTAATTGTTTTCACCTGATAAAATATAACCTTCTTTAAGGTAGGATTATTTTTTTCTAATTCCCTATTGATTTCTCAGGTCTTAGAATAGATTCTAGCTCAGAATAGGCACTCAAAAACTGTTGGTGAAAATCACAAATTCCATTTGCTCTTTATGTTTATCATTTTTACTGAAACTTTGGACTGGAAAGCATGATAATTATTCTGGGGCTGAAAACACTGTGCTATAACTTGGATATGGTTTCTTTGGCCCCACCAAATCTCGTGTTGAAAGATTAATAAATATTATTATTGATATAATGTTGTGGCCCGCTTACAGGATGGAGGCTGAACACAGAACACAAAACGAAAATGCAGAACACAAAGAAAAATGCGGACACACATACAAACGGTTGACTCGAGTACTAATACACTGGGTCCATTTTATTTTTATACTTTAAAAAATTAAAGTTAGTTCCTTGTACGTAACCACCCAGGCATTTCAGCAATGGCCATAAATTCTGGAATACTTAGCCTTAGGGAAGCAGATATCCCCTGACTCAAGGTTTCCAGGTGGCTGCTCTAGGTGCTAGGCATAGATCACGGACCAGACCGAGATTAGCAAGGATGGGTAAGGTGAGCCACAGGGGGCATTTCTCATCCCCAGCTTCTCTTAGGGTGACCCCCTAAGATCTTCGGCTGAACCCCGGTGGCTGTGCCTGGCTTAGGTCGCCCCTCCCTTGAGGGGTCTTACCCATCATTGACTAACTGGCCATCTTATGGGGTGTTTATCGTGTGGCCTCCAGACCCCCAATGCTGTGGGGTGGGGAAGCTCTTGCTTACTTGCAACTCAGGTCCTTTGTTATGCCTCTAGGCAACAGCTTTGTTTATCACAGGGAGCCTGTCTAGAACACATTACTTTCAAATGTTCTGGGAAGAACACGTACATTACTCACTAACTTTAATTCTTAAACTAGGAAAATATATGTCAGTCCCCTACAATATAATGTTATGTTGATTTTGATACTAATCTCCTTGATAAAAGGCACTGTAATACTTAGAAGCTATAAAAGTAAATTTACATGATATCATCCAAATGTCAATGGATGTATCATTTTGTGTAACAAATATATCACAATTTGAGATTAAGTAATGAACAATATTATTTATTTTACTGAATGAAAATGACTTTAAAAGGAACATATTAAAGAATTTTATTCAAGTGAATATATATTAAGAATATATAAAAGTGTATATTAAAATGTGTTAATAAAAGCCATTCTAACATGAGTGAGGTGATATGTAATATCTCATTGTGGTTTTAATTTTCATTTCCCTGATGATTAGTGATGTTGAACTTTTTTTTCATATGTTTATTGGCTATTTGTCTATCTTCTTTTGAAAAGATTCTGGCATGGTTGCAGAGAGGAAGGAATGCTTATGCATTGTTGGTGGGACTGCAAATTAGTACATCCTCTATGGATAGAGTTTCAACATGAATTTTGGAGGGGACAAACATTCGAACCATAGCATCATATAAAAAAGAATCATAGACATTGGACTATAACAATTTACTCTTCAATTTTATTTGTGTACTAGCATTTATATCATTAAATGAAATAAACCTTATGGGCTGTATTTATTATAATTTTTAGTTACTTGATTTCATTTACACCATAGGTTTTCAAGAAAAGTTTTGTTTCACTTGGCAATATTTGGAAATATTTCACAGCTGGTATGAAGATCTTAAAAGCAGAATGTTACTTTGCTACCATACATAGGAAAAGAAAAAATTTAAATTGTGTACAAGATCCATGATAAATTTCAGCTTCCAAGATAAAAATAAAAGGAGAAAAACAATAGAAAAGAAGAAAGCATTAGATAAAAATGTGATCTCCTTCTCTCAATACATATATTTGCTCCACAGACCGAAGTTGGAAGTGAAGGTGTAGTGAGAAATATGTAGCATAACCGGTGGAGCCTTCTAATGACTGATGATGCTGACAGATTGTTTTATCTGCTCTACAATGTCAAAATTTAAAAATTATAATAATCAAATTTTTAATAATAAAAGGTAATAATGTTCACTTTGAAAATAAACTTTTAGGTTCATTCTGGTACCCCAGAGTTTCAACCTGTAAGTGTAGTATTAGGCTTTGGTCACAGTTTTGGCTGAATATTTAATTTTTAAAAAGGCTTCCCTTCAGCTAAAACGTATGTTTGGTATAATACTTGTTATTGTTGTTGTTATTTTTTTTTTACTCTTAAATGTTGGAAAATTTTTTTCCTCGTTGAGAATATAAATAAATCGAGTTACTTTGTGTTAATTTTCAATATAGACCAGGTCTGGGTGCTATGTTTCTTAGCCAGGGGAGAGAAGGTCTTGCTTGGAGCATACTGCACAAAACAAAAATGAAATATAGTAGCCAGACTCTCCCTTTTATCCTGCAAATGGTTTATTCCCAAGGTGGCTTGGGAATATCACATTATAATTATTTGGCTTAATTTGCTCTTCATTTAGATTTGAAATACAGATTTCAAACATTTTCTAAAGAACAAAAGAGATTATGTCAACATGTTTCAGGAGATAATTTAAGTTAGACATAAAGCACATAGTTCTGATTATGAAGTGTTAGTGGAGCCTGAGGAGGTATGATTAATGCACTTTTTAGATCATGACATGATTCCTAAACGGACTTATTTAAAAGGTGTAGGAGGTGTGAAAATCTTAATTTTTAAATGGTGAAGTTTCCACCTGGGTACTGTCAGTAACTTTCAGAAATGATGATTAACGGGAATGATGGTTAAAGGGAGTGATGATTACAACAACACAAGGAAAATGGCAATTAACAGAATAGCAATAGCAAGGAGCTTGAACCAACTGCAAAACAAGCAAGGCTTCTGAAGACTCCCAACAACTCGTGTCTTCATGGGTTTCAGAGCCCGGTCCCACTGGGTCAGGATGGCATTTCTGGCTCCTGGCCACTTGCCTGGGCCCACCAGCCTAAACTGGTAGGGGCTGCAAGGGCCAAAGAAAACTTCCACAGCCAATTTGGGATCTGTGAGAAACAGCCACGGGATGTTGAGCTTTGCTCCAATGAAAGAGGCAAGTTCATCCATGTAAGCAACATAATCCGTCTGTATGGTCTCGCTGGTGCCAAACCTAGAGGTGGGACAGGAAACACCACTGTGGATATCCAAAGTCTATGTAGAAACAAGAACAGGGAAAAGCCTCACATCTTTTACCAATGTCAATGTCTTCTGTAAGTAAGAAGAATAGCGCTCCCTTATCCTGTACTTTGTAGTTTTTTCAAAGAATTTTCATATTGGTCTCATTTGAAAATTCCTCAACACTGCAAGGCAGCTGAGAAAGCTATTTTAATCTCCATTTACAAATGGATAAACGGTCTTTTGCCCAAGTGAAGTTACTAGTTCATGGCCTGAGCTAATTAGTGACAGGACTAGAAATGGAGAGCCCAGTTCTCCAGATTCATTCTCATTTTGCTGAGCTGTCTTCATTACAGGCATCTGTTTGATGTATCCTCTACATCGTGGAGGATTTATGGGCTAGAGAATAGAAGTCCACATCCATGTGCTCCCAGACTCCTTTGATTTCTGGTTCTTTCTGGGCCTCCCTTCTGTAATGTATTTGCAAGAGCCCTGGAGGCCTAAAACTGTATAATGTAGATTCTCAGTCCCACTATTCACTATTTTGCACTTAAGTGGATTTAATACAATGTCAGGTACAAAGTAGGTCTTTAATTATCTGTTGAATGGAGAATGTAGCTCACAACTGTAATATTAACGGCTTCATTCAGGATCATTTAAGATTAAAACAAGCATTCACGAATTCTGACTTTTCCGTGGAAATCCTAGACCCCCATTATAATAGGTGTTCTTACCATTTGAGCTTTCTTCCCATTTTTTCATCGATGTCATTCATCATATCTTTCTCAGAAGGCAAAGTACAAGTTCCTGAAAAAGAGGGAAAGACATGATAATAGTTAAATGAGTCTAGCATAGGACCAGCCTGCAATGCTCGTTCTTAAATAATTAATTATGAATCGTATTAATATTTCCATTTTTTGTCACTGTCCAGCAAAATAAAATCACAAACAAATGAACAGGGAATCATTTTGAGAGACACACAATTCATTCTTAGTCTTCTCAGAGCTGATACTTCTCACAATAATTTAAAACCATTGCCTGAATATCATTGTATCTTTGCTCTCAAACTGGTTACCAGATGTTTAAAATCAGTTTCATGGATTATATTCTAATCTCTCAGTCATATTTTAAGAATGTTATCTAATAAATTATAGTGAAACAGAGGTAAATGAATATCAATTTATCAAGATTTAAGGGAAAAAAAAAAAAACTTCATAGGATATAATCCTGCTTTGGCCAGAAAAGGGTATTTCCAGCAGATAAGATGTAGAATTTACCGAAGCCCCAAGTGTTTCCCTGAAGAGCCAACAGATCTTGAATGTAACTGAGGATATGGACTGCCCACAAGTCACCAAGGACACAAGAGAGCCCCAGAGACAAGATCTTAGTTGAAGCTGCCCCAGGATTTCAGGCTTATATAGGTTTACAGAGTTCTCTGAAACTCAGACCAAAATTTGCTTTTGTGCCCAGAGATACTTTAAATCTAGGATGATTTCTTTGGCATTCTCGGAATCATCTTGAATGAGATTAGAACTTCCAGCCCAGATATGGTTGTGACCTACAAAGACTTGCTTAATTTCCCATTCCGGCTCTCTTTATAGGGAGGGTTACTTGAACTGCTTTTGTAGATATGGCCTGGTTCTAGACCTTGAAACCTGTCTTGATCTTGGGCATGAGAAGAGATTGAGAGAAAAGAGACTGAGTTTGATAGCCCCACCAGGTACTGCTACTGGGTTGCTTGTTATTAGCCCCTCTGTCCTGGTACTCTGGTTCTCCACAGTTAGGTTGTTTGCCTTGTCTTTCACTTCCCCTCTGTCTTGCACCCCAATTCCCTATCAATTGCTTTGTTTCCTATCTTCAGAGCCTAAGTTACAACTCTTGTCCTCACCGAGAGTAAGTACCCCACCCTTCCCTTAATGCCAGACTTTCTGGGCATGCACCCTAAGTGGAAGTCTGAGTAGAATTTCGTGCCATCACCTTCCTGGATACTTGGTCTTATGATCACCATCTGCCCATAATTGTATTCACGCCTCAGTGTGAATCTGATCCTAGCACCTGCTGCTGGAGGATGCTGTGCCTTCCTTGCCAAATGTCAATCAAGTTTGTTGTTTCCTTTTCTCTTTAAAACATAGGAACTCAGTATTCTTATATCTTAGAGACTGAGCATCTAGCATAGCTAGAGACTTTCTGTTTCTAAGGATCCATTGTTTGTCCTTATCTAACAAATGGTAGGAAAGAAAATAGTAGCAGAAATACCAATGCTTTTCTAGCACTCACATTTTCCATAAAGGTGGATATGTAAAATTGGCTGGATATTGGCTTGGAAACATCTTTTCTTATTACTCTTTTAAGCAAGGAAATTCAACTGAGTCTTGAAGCCAAAATTTTATAAAGTTGTCATGCACTAAAGACAGGAGCTCTGGTGTTCTCAAGTCTAATAAATGATCTTCGGTAATTATCAGCTCTAAGGAGTTATAAGTCACAAAAGACTCCTCTAATAATATCCTCTACTATTGCATATATAATCTTATATAATATACTTTCAATTATTTATAAAATATAGCAATAAAGAATATAGAATTATAGACTCTTGAAATTGTATGGTACCCTTGTAATTAAGATAATTATTTTCACAAAGACCCAAAGTTATTCTCACTGGCATTCATCTTCCCCATCAATAAACTTCTTCTTCTACTTACCCTTTATTACTTGTGCTGCCCAGCGGGCTTGGAGGTCAGCTGTGGGGATGGCAGCCCCAAGGGACTGGACAAGGCCAATTATTGCCATGGTAGACTTCTCTAGTAGAGGGGGGAAGATGCCTTTAAACAAGGTGACCTCATTGCTTCTGCTTTTGATAATGGACTCATCAAGGAAGGGGTAGGCACTTTCATAGCCTGTTGCAAAAATGACACAGTCAATGGCCTCAAACATGGTCCCGTCCTCAAAAATGGCTGAGGTCTCCGTGAACTCCTTCACGTTAGGCTTAATGGACAGGGTGCCACACAGGATGCGGGCTGGGAGGTCATCATTAAACACAGGCTCTTTCCTCAGGACTCTGTGTGGAAAATAGAGACAATCGCTAGAACTCTAAGTATTTCCCTTTTGTTTATTGGTCCATGTGCAAATGGATAAGGAAAGAGAAAACTACCGAGGATATTTTTCTGAGCCATGGAGTAGTGCCAGTAGGGTTGAAGAACAAAACTGATGTAAAGCATCATTGTAAAGTAAGAGAAGCTGCTGTTTGCTGGTCCTGTCTCTAGTCTCTGTGATCTCTCTCTTCTCTTCCATGGAGCTCTTTCCAAATACAGAATAAACACCCATGCTCAGTCCGCTGTTAAAGCCTCTTTCAGGAAAAATCCTAAAGTCTGAGTATCTGGGTATTTGTATTTTTTCTTCGCTACTTATTAACTGTGGACCTTGATAAGATTAAGGTTTCTTAAATTTTTGGTGCCTCAGGTTTCTCATCTGGAATGACAATCACATTGGTACCTACCTCACAAGGTCACTAGGAGAGCTAAAGAATTTGAAGAATTTTGCATAGTCTGTCGCACGTGCATACTGCTCAAAATGCTAGTGTCCGTTCTTAATCCAGTATACTCTGAGCTGGTCATTGCAGTGTAAAGAAAGATCAATGAGGAGGGAGGAAGTCAAAGGTGGGAAAGCCACAGCTGGCCTCTACAGAGGGGTGAGGTATGAGCCCTGTGCAGACAAAGGGACAAGGCAGGCGAGGGAGGGAGCACCTGGGAATTTAAACAAGGCCAGGAAACGAGAGGGTGGGGGCGCGGTTTGAAGCTTTGGCCACTGCAAGTCTCAAAAAAGAGAGCCTTTGACTATTTATTATTCAGTAATAATTTTAAAGGGTGAGGTTAAATCTGAACCTAGAGGTGAACTTGAGTAAAGTTGGAGGGAAGGGCATTGTTCTTGTATGGCTGTGGAAGCTGAGAGAGAAAGCCACAGGCAGATTCCACCAGGGAAGAAACTGAGCCAGACAACGAATGAGCTCGGTTGGAATCCTGGTTGGAAAGAGCCTGGTCTCCACTGCGTTTATTACCTGCCACTTATTTTAAACTTGCTGCCATCAGGTTTTCAGTTGAACCTGTTCTTGTCAAGGCCACCAGAACTGGTGTGCCAGATCAATGGTGCACTCTCGTTTCTCATTTTACTCAAATTATTAGTAGCACTTAACACAGTTGATGGGTTCCTCCTTCTTAAAACCCATTTGGCTTGCAAGTCATCACTCTCTATTGGTTCTTTTCCTTCCTACCTGGCTATCCTTTCTCTAACTCCTGCTGATATCCTCTCCTCTCTCTGAACAATGGCCCCCAGACCTTTTGTCTCCTCCACCTATACTCATTCTTTAGGAAATGTCATCAAGTTTTTTTTTCTTTAAGAACTACCTATATTCTAATGACTCTTAGCATCTTACATATGGTGTGAGCCTCCCCCGGATTGTGTTTCTCTCTGCTGCTCAACATTCGTCTACCTGAATGTCTAACAGGCATTTGAACTCTCATACGTCTAAAACTAAACTTGTGCTTCTCCTGCAGCCTTTCACATTTCAGTAAATGTCAACTCCATCCTTGCTCGGCTTAGAGTCTTGAAGACATCCTTGACCCCTTTCTTGTTCTCACATTTTTTATCAGTCCAACAAAGTCCTGTTTGGGTCTACCTTCAAGCTCTCTCCAGAATCTGCCCACGCTGACACTCACTCTATGATCCTAGTTCAGACCACCATCCCCTCCCACCTGGGTTCTGGACAATAGCTTCTTAACTGGTCCCGTTACTTCCTTCTTTGCCCTACTTACTCCTCTACATTGTACGATGAGCACAGCGGCCAGAGTGACCTCTTCAATGTTAACTTAGGTCTTGTCACTGCTTTGCTCAGATGCCTGCTATGACTGCTCATTGCTGTCAGAGGAAAAGCCAGAGTCCTTATGATGGTCTGTAAGGCCCAACCCCATCTGGCTATTTTTATTTCTCTGGTTTTATCTCCTGGTACTCTCCTCTCATCCTCTTTTCTCCAGGAAGAGAAGCCCATTGCTGTTTGTGGAACATGCCAGCCATACCCAAAGGCAGTGACCTGGCTGTGTCCTCTATCTGGAATCCCCTTCCTGAGAGATCCTCATGGCTCTCCTTCTTCCTGAGACCTACTCTGAGGACTGTACTGGAAATTGTCCTGATGCACTTGCCATCACCCTTGCCTGCTTTGTCTTCTTCACAGCACACATCACCATGTGATCTTCTGCTAATTGCTTCTTGTCTGTTTCCCACTACTTAGCATATGGGCTCCATGAGGACAGGGATTTTTCCTGTTTTTTTCAGTGCTGTGTCCACAGAGCTTAACACAGGAATTGACACAAGATAAATACTTTTAAATATCTGTTGAATTAATGAATTCAAGTTGATGTCAGGAATTTATAGCTTGGATTTTTTCTTCCATGTTAAAGACATTTCTTATATTACTGGCTTGGAGGATGTTATAGAGGAAGGTGAGGAGGAGAATGAAGGTGGAAGCATTGTGGCATGCATGTGCCCAATGGAAGGGCTACGTTCACGGGTGGGTGATGAGAGTGTAGGATAGAGAAAGTTCTCTTGCCTTGCTTAACTTAACTTTGCTGTTAAGTGAGAGGCAATAGGGCAAGTGGCTAAGAGGGAGGGGCTCTGAAATCAGCAGATCTGGGTTGGTTTTGAATACAGCTTCTGTTACCTGACTGTGGGACTGTGGTAATGCTATTAACTACACTGAACCCTCAGTTTCCTCATCTCTAAACAGGGGATATTAATAGAGCCCTCCTCACAATTATTGTGAGGATAAAATGAGATAACATATATTAGAGTCTTTGAAAACCTTGCTAGGGCTCTGACACATATTAAGTGCTTCAAACATGTTGACTATGATTATCATTATTCTAGTGACTAATTCCTGAGGCATTATATAATGTTCCAGCTGTGTTAATCTAGTAAGAAGGCTTGCAAAATAGGAAATCACTCCTAATTTTTCATCCTTTGAGATGTGAACTGTAATTACTCCACTAATGTTTTGATTTGTTTGGGGTTACGACACACATTAAAGGTTGTTGACACAGAAACAAAAGCCAGCAAGCATATCACATTCAACTCGGCATTACCCATTTAAAGGCATCAAGCCATAGTTCTCGTGCTTGAATCTTGCATTCATCTGCTTCACGTACAACCAGTTCGAGATGGCTGTCGGTAAGTTGTTCTTGAGCAAGGTTTTGAATCGAGTGACAATCATCATGTCCCAAGGGTAGCCATCGTCCCACACCCGGCTCATCACCCAGGAGCCACTTCTGGAGCTGATGATGACCTTACAAAACACCAGTTCAACCGTGAACATAGTGACGTTTGTAGCAGACACTGTGGTACACTCCCCAGATGCCCCTTGAGGAATGGACTTATTGGCCCAGCTGTTGAGAGTGTGCCAGAAGCCACCCTCATCTGTCGGCTTTCTTTGGGAGTTGTTTTGGCTGAAGAGAGGGTCCTCACCCAAGGTCTTATGCTGTCTGAGTTTCCTGCTCTGGTGACCTGTTGACGCAGACATGTAAAGGTCCATCCCTCATCCCGATTTGGGACAATGCCAAAGGGTCGCCCAGCTCAGAGCAAGGTGAAGGAAGGAAGCTTCCTTTCCTTCCTGCATAGGTACTGATCCTGAAACATCCCAAACAAACTTCCTGACTCAATCTACATTCAGGTCGGCCACCCTGTCATACCGTTGTAGGGAAATGTCTATATTTTCATCAAATCTTCTCTGGCATAGGTGACCAATAGCTGAATTCCAGTCATATTTACCCTAGTGCTTATCTGACTATTGCCGTCTACAAACAAGCAATCGTGATCTCAAAATAGGCATTTGGTACTAAAATGCCTGCCAGCAAGAAAGCATGAAATTTGGAATCAGAAACCATAGACTCAAATCCTAGTTTCTCTATTTACTAATGATGTGACTTGGGAAAAGTTTAACTTCTCTAATCTGATTTTCTCATTCCTAAAAGGAGAGAATCAAACACACCTCATCAAATTTGTGTGAGAATTAAGTCCACGTGTATCCTATGCAAGATGGCTAACATTACCTGGCATGCAGTATGTGTGCAGTAAATGTCAGTTTCCCTTCCTTCCCCATTCTGTTTGTTAATCTCTAACAATGCAGTTTTCAGACTTTCTTTTCTTTTCTTTTAAAAGGTAATTTTTAAACAAAATGTCACTTCAAGGCATTTCTTATAAGAGAAGCTAGACCAAGAGGAGATTGAAAAATCAATTGAGAGTCTCCAAAATTGATCTTTCTTCCCTCTAGTTTTTCACATACACAAATACAAATTTCTTAAAACTATGGTTTCATCATATCTTTCTTCAGTTTGAGAAACTGAAATGATTTACTTTTATTTATGGAGAAATCCAAATTTTTCAGCCTGTCATTCATGTCTTTAAAATATATGACATAACCTGACTCCAATCTTTCCTTCCTGTTTTAATTCCTGTAACTTCTCTGTTCCTTAGAATCACAAGGCTTAGCTTTTAGTCCTATAACACTTTGGTGGTTCAAATATTAATTTACTCTATGACTTACAAGAAGACAATTGACATTCCTGGTCCTCAGTTATCTTTTTCTGTAAAATGGTCATAATAAAACTCTACTACCTTCTTCCCCAAATCAGAGGAGCTCATGTATATGCAGGTATTTGAGTACCATAATATATCATATGAATTGTTAATATTAAGAAACTCTATTTCAGCAAGATGAATCTACAATAATCAGATATGCAGGGCTCATTCCTGTCTTCAAATCTTTGCTCATACCATTTTCCCTTCCATGACCAGTCTCTGTCACCTCTTCAATCATATGATCTATATTTATCCTTCAAGGACTGGTTCAGTTCTACTTCCTTTGTGAGACCCCCGGGTCTGGAATCATAGCATTTAGTGCCTGAATCACTTGTTTATCCTTTGTCCCAGTGGCAGTTCTAGTTCCAGGGCAGGAATCATGTCTGTTCCATTCACCACTCTCTCTCCAGCACCCAAGCCAGTGCTTGACGCAGACATGTAAAGGTCCATGCCTCATCCCGATTTGGGACAATGCCAAAGGGTCGCCCAGCTTCAGAGCAAGGTGAAGGAAGGAAGCTTCCTTTCCTTCCTGCAGAGGTATTGATCCTGAAAACACTCCCAAACAAACTTCCTGACTCTAATCTACATTCAGGGTCGGCCACCCTGTCATACCGTTGTAGGGAAATGTCTATATTTTCATCAAATCTTCTCTGGCATAGGTGACCAATAGCTGAATTCCAGTCATATTTACCCTAGTGCTTATCTGACTATTGCCGTCTACAAACAAGCAATCGTGATCTCAAAATAGGCATTTGGTACTAAAATGCCTGCCAGCAAGAAAGCATGAAATTTGGAATCAGAAAACCATAGACTCAAATCCTAGTTCTCCTATTTACTAATGATGTGACTTGGGGAAAAGTTTAACTTCTCTAATCTGATTTTCTCATTCCTAAAATGGAGAGAATCAGAACACACCTCATCAAATTTGTGTGAGAATTAAGTCCATGTGATAACCTATGCAAGATGGCTAACATTACCTGGCATGCAGTATGTGTGCAGTAAATGTCAGTTTCCCTTCCTTCCCCATTCTGTTTTGTTAATCTCTAACAATGCAGTTTTTCAGACTTTCTTTTTCTTTTCTTTTAAAGGTAATTTTTAGGCCGGGCGCTGTGGCTCACGCCTGTAATCCTAGCTCTTGGGAGGCCGAGGCGGGCGGATTGCTCAAGGTCAGGAGTTCCTTCTCTCATTATACTAACAGGTATTGATCTGAAACCCCAACAAAATCTGACTTCAATCTACAATTCAGGGTCGGCCACTGTCATATCTCTGTGCTAGGTAAGCATCAGTTGGTGAGCGATGAGGAAGAGTTGTACTAGTATTACATACCTCATCAATCTTCCTCAGATTGTGCAATAATGGAGCACTGCCGAACCAATAGCCTTGAACATTGCCACGTACATATAATTTATGACATAGTGTCGTGATCTGACTATGCCTAGCTGTCTACAACAACAATCGTGATCTCAAGAGTGCATTTTGGGACATAGAATGGGCCTGCCCGAGCGAAGAAAACAAGTGAAATTTGAATTCTATTAACATTGACTCATATAATCCTTAAGAGTACATTATTTATAATATGAGTGACATGAGGAGAACATATTCTACAGTCTTTCTCAATTCATAATGCTACGGTCTTTACAGTAACCAAGGAGAGAATCAAGAAAACCGCTTTCTATGCAAGGTTTGGTGAATATATCATTTAAGTCCGGCGAAATGAGAAGTAACAACTCAAGCATGCTACATGCTACTGGCATGCAGTATGTGTGCAGTAATGTCGTTTCCCTTCTTCCCCATTCGTTTTGTAATCTCTAAAATGCAGTTTTTCACGACTTCTTTTCTTTTCTTTAAAGTATTTTAAACAAAATGTCACTTCAAGGCATTTCTTATAAGAGAAGCTAGACCAAGAGGAGATTGATAAAATCAATTGAGAGTCTCCAAAATTGATCTTTCTTCCTCTAGTTTTTCACATACACAATAAATTTCTTAAAACTATGGTTTCATCATATCTTTCTTCAGTTTGAGAAACTGAAGAAATGTTTATTTTATTATGGAGAACTAATTTTTCAGCTTCATCCTATGGCTTTAAATATATGAACATAACTGACTCCAATTTCTTCTGTTTTAATCTGTAACTTCTCTTTCCTTAGAATCACAAGGCTTAGCTTTTAGTCCTATAACACTTTGGTGTTCAAATATTAATTTACTCTATGACTTACAAGAAGACAATTGACATTCCTGGTCCTCAGTTATCTTTCTGTAAATGCATAATAAACTCTACTATTCATTCCCCAAATCAACGGAGCTCATGTATATGCAGGTATTGATACCATAATATGATCAATTATAAATGAATTGTTAAGTATTAAAGAAACCTCTATTTCAGCAGATAATCTACAATACGATATGGCGGCTCAATTCCTGTCTCTCAACTTTGCTCATACCATTTCCCTTCATGACCAGTCTCTTACCTTCAATCATATGATCTATATTTATCCTTCAAGGACTGGTTCAGTTCTACACGTCCTTTGTGAGACTCCGGGTCTGGAATCATAGCATTTAGTGCCTGAATCACTTGTTTAATCCTTTGTCCCAGTGGCAGTTCTAGTTCCAGGTAGGAATCATGTCTGTTCCATTCACCACTCTCTCTCCAGCACCCAAGCCAGTGCCTGGTATGTAGTAGGCTCTCAATAAATAGCCATGGAATGAATGCATGGATGAATGAATAAGTAAATGAATAAATGAATTACTCTATATTACTTAAATCATGTTCCAATCATTAAATCTCTAACAAGTCCAAAATGTAGATACATTTTTTTATGTGTTTTACCATAGAGAAACCTGAAATTCAAGGGAATGAAGAACTTGCCCAGGAGTCTCAGAGTCATAACCTTAAACCTAAATCTGCACTGGTTTTAGATCAGACACATTATAGGCATCATATGTCTTGAGACTGTTGTATGACAACATCACTCCTTTCCAATGTTCTGCCTTTCTCTATTTATTTATTTATTTATTTATTTTTTATTTCTGGATATTATGGGGGTACAAATGTTTAGGTTATGTGTGTTGCCTTCCTCCCCTCCCCCTGCAGTCAGAGGTTTAAGTGTGTCCATCCCCCAGATGGTGCACCTTGCACTCATTACGTGTATACTTGTTTCCCCAAAAATAAGACCTACCCATAAAATAAGCCCTAGCGGATTTCTAAGCATTTGCGCAATAAAGCCCTACCCGAAAATACGACTTAGTGATGGGCGTGGCTACAGCGCATCTGCACAACCATGCTTTTGTGGCAGAGTGGTAATGCGAGTACCTTCTCATCTGCCCATCTGACAGCTACTACCCCAGGGTGACCGGAAAGGCGGGCAGCCCCACCAACAAGGTCGGCTCCCCCTGTCAGGTCCCGGCCATCCTGTGTGTGCTGCGAGTTGAACAGCTTTGAGGGGAAAAAAAACATCCCTGAAAATAAGCCCTAGGGTGTCTTCTTGAGGAAAAAATAAATATTTTATTTTGGGGAAACACGGTAGATAACATTTATCGGACAGGGCAGGTGGGAGGGAGGAATGGGGTGGGCATATACATACATATTGAGTGCCATGTGCACCAATCGGGGGATGGACACGCTTGAGCTCTGACTGTGGG